AACCCAAACCCTAGCCGCCAGAACCCTCGTCGGAGAAAACAACCCAGCCACCGGAGGAACCGACCGCCGCCGCCCGCCGCCGCATCGGATCACTTTCCGGCCGCCAAACGAGGTAAAATTTCTCCCCTTGGCTCGTTTTTCGATGTTGAACCTCCCTGTGGCCAAATTGAAACCAAACCACTGGCTAATTGGCCAGAAAACACCGCCAAAGTCCAGCGGCGCCGCCGCGAGTTTTCTCAGTTTTTGCCTCCGATGAGGTCCTTCCCGGTTCCCGTTCGATGTAATTTTTACACCACTGTGGCCACCGTCCTTTTCTCTATAGATTGACCGGAGCAAAACACCAAATCATAACTCACGCCGGAGGAGTCACTGGTAAGTCTCAGTTTTCTGGAATTTTTTGGCCCACCGAAGGCCCTAGGGGTGTTTTATCACAGGAACCAATGTAAATTTAGTCGAAAACGGCCGGAAACAGCCAATCCGAGGCGGATCGCCGCCGTGCCAGAATTCTGAAATTGGCCGAATAGGCCCTGGGTCTGATTTGGGGTTTTTTGGGGGCATGTGAAGGTACTGTAAGTGTGTTTCAGTTTTCGGGAAAAAATTCAGGGAATCTGGGGACTGTCCGTAGGCGCAGTGAGAACCTGATTTCAGACTCCGAAACAAATAAGGATCCCTCACCCTATTTCCTATCACGGCATTAAAACTTAATAAATGATAAAACGGTATTTTATGAATTAATAGATATGTATAATTAATTAAGATTGCTAATGAGGCCCGAACCTGATGTATTTGTCGGTCTGTTTCTGTTTGATGTATTTTACAGTCTAAATGCAGTATAGTATCTGATTGTTTATTCTGTGGTTCCATATGCATGAATAACTGTTTAATCTATTATGATTTGAATTATTGTGAACCCGATGTTGTGTTGCCTTTGTTGGTGTGCGTTGCTGGTTTACGTATTTATGTTGATTGGGTAATTGAGACTAAGAAAAATAAGGATGGTATGTGAATTTATAAGTGAATAAGTCGACAGTCTCACTAGATATCTTGGAAGATGGTGGACGGACCGAGTCCATAGGGAACCCTATCGGGAACGTAGTCTCTCATACCGGACGGGGTATGGAGACTTTAATATTTTGGCGCTCATACCGGACGGGGTACGGGAACGGCCCGCTTCACCCTCATACCGGACGGGGTATTGAAATTTATGGTTTTGGTGCTTATACCGAACAGAGTATGGGGACGGCCCTGGAATTAAGGTGAATGGTTCACGTACAGCGGGGACCCATATGGATCCCCATGGACACTAGTAAGCTGATAAAAGAAAAAATTTGTTGTCTGATTATTGAAATACAAATGTATGATACGTGTTATCTTACAGAGTGTGCATGATCTTATGATGTTTATAATGTTATTGTTTTCATAAGTTGTTTTCATAAATCTCACCGAGGTAAGTGACAGTAAAGGGCTTTATTATTGACAAATGAATTTGTTATGAATTATGTTTCATTGATCGTTTTTGTTTTCTACCAACCTTTATTACTATGACAGTGAGATAGTATGACATCTTTACTTGGCTAGTGTAACTCATTCCTTACTTAACCATTTCAGATCAGGAGAACTTGGTTCCCGAGCCCGTTCCGCATGAAGACGGCGAATAGAAGCTTAAAGATTTATTAGTTTTCCTTATAGTATTCATTCATAATATTTCTTTCAGTTAGTTTATTCTTTCATATTTTTAATACGTTTGGATTATTGTGTAAGGGATGTTAATCATAATCTATTTTATTTCGCTTCCGCACTTAGAATAAATATATACATTTCCTTTTAATTTTCGGGGCCGTTACACTTGAATAAATTGAAAAGAGAACTACATGAACAAGAAAGTCTAAAAATCTACTACCAGACAGCCAAAGGAAATGTATGGGCAGACTAAAATTCTAACTAATTCAAAAAAACGAAAAAATAAATAAACAAGCCCCCTTGAATGCTTGAAGTAACATTATATGTTGCAGGACTTGTCCAATATATAAAGTGTAATTGTTTTTGTCAATTACAATATCAAATTAGTAGTAAAAGCTGAATTGATTAAAAAAAGGATAAAAGACAACTTCTATAAAACATTTAGGTACCATTAATTTTTTCATTAAATTTCATTAGTTTTCTATCATAGTTTGGATGATTTTTAGTACTTTAATTTAAATATCTTATCCATTTTGTTTGGTATTATGGCAAAGTATGGTTTATATCATGTTGTTTATTTTATTTAAGACTCAATATGTAGTTTATTTCCATACTTGTGGTTTAACTATTAGTCAATTGACATAATATTGTTATCTCGAATGTATAGAGAGTCTGAAATATGACACATGGATAACTTGTTTTAGAATATTAAACTTGCTAAAAGTCAAACCTAAGTACTAATCTGCTAAAAATTAACCACACGTAATTTTTCGATTAAGTTCAGAGACCGAGAAATAAAGGTTTGTATTTCCAAATTTAACTTCAAGAAAGCTTATGATTGGATGAATTTGGATTTCTTAGATAAAATTTTGGAGAGAAAAAAATTTGAAATTAGATGGATGAGTCGGATATCTAGTTGTCCCTCTTCCATGTCCTTTGCTTTCTTTTTCTTGAGAAGAAAGGACATTGCCATTTTGTTTAATAGCAAACCTAGAGAGTGGTTTTAGGGAGTGACATCGCTTGAGACAAGGGGACTCCCTTTCCCCTTTACTTTCATGGTTATTATTGATGATTTGAGTCATAAGTTATCTAGAGATCTGTTAGAGAGTCCTAGGGTTGGTCATGATAGAGAGGAAGTCTCCTATCTCTAGGTTGTTGACTACACGTTTCCTTTCCCATGACCATGTGAAGTTCAATGTATTATGGACCTACATATTAACCTTTGGAAGAGCGGCCTTCTTGGGCTTAACGTTAAGGAGGAGAAAGTCAAAAGGCTGGCCAATTCAATTTAGTTGTTGACTACACGTTTCCTTTCCCATGACCATGTGAAGTTCAATGTATTATGGACCTACATATTAACCTTTGGAAGAGCGGCCTTCTTGGGCTTAACGTTAAGGAGGAGAGAGTCAAAAGGCTGGCCAATTCAATTTAGTGTGATGTCGTAAGTTCTCATTCACGTATTTAGGTGTCCCTCCGGGTATAATCATCGAGTCTCTTCCTTTTGAGATTCTCTTGAGAGTAAAGTCTCCAAAGCCATGGTTGGTTAACAGAGAGGGAGTCAAATACCCCTGAATGTAATGCCATTGTATTATGAATAGTCACTACTACCTTGTGTGATTCATAGAATAAACTTTCCATGGAATTCTAATTCCTCCAAAACTTGTAAATGGGACTCCTGACTAAGAGGAA